AGAACTGGATATTGCATTTATGAGGCTGTTGGATTGTTGTTCAAAGACACAATTGACTAATTTAGCAAGCTAGTTCCTTGTTGCCAAGGTGTGTTGTATTAAGGATGAATTGCCTTCCTTCCAGCTAGGGAGCAACAGCTATCACTCACACCTTACGAGTGTGACCTATGCCTGTGACCTACACTTGATGATTAACAACCACCCACTTCTTCCCACCCGCTCCTCCATCACCCCAGCAAAGGAATGGTTTCCAAGAATGATACATCATTTTAAGAAGGGAGGTGTCCTGGTAAAGCTTTGACATGAAAACCCAATTTGTTCAAAGCCTCAGGTAGACTTGTCTCTTTCTAGTGAGAAATTAATTCACCTGACAATTCAAATGACTATTCAATACTGCAGGCGTAACCACTTCATATTTTTTGTTTTTTTTTCAGTAGGTTTCTCTTTGATTTGCTTTATTTAATCTATTCCGTTCCACCCCTTTCCAATTACTGATGTTTCCTCATAATTTTTATAACTTTATGTACAATGATAAGCCTTCAGGGGAAGATAGGAATTACTACACTAAAAGAAGAAAAGTTTTGCTTATGATGAAGTCTGCATTTTTATGTTGATTTTCCTCATTAGAGAGGGAAACAAAAATAGAAATTCTGAACAAGTACTAAGTGCTGAAGAAGATAAAGAGCTGCAGAGATCAATGTATTACATTTAGATAATTGTAAACTACAACTTGCTAACAATGTCATTAACTGGTTTTATTTGGTATTGTTAATTCTAAAGGGGGAAAGTGAAACTTCTAAACATATATTGAGGTTACTCAACTCGTTACATTTAACTTTTGTTCCCATGACTATCTTAAATCAGCTTGAAGAATGTAATGAAGTGCTGTATGTGTCAAGGGTTTAACATTAAATGGTCAAACAAGTGGGCCTGGAAGAGTTCCAGGAGCCCAGGCTAGACATGACATTGGGTTTGGGATATGCTGTATACTGAACCAATGGGGATCCCGAAGACTGTTTAGATTACAGTCAGCTTTGGGGAGAAGTGGATCTAGGGCAGAGGTCTGGAATGGGGTGGGGCTACTTCCAGGTTCAGGACAACTGGGTCACACCACTGAATAGGAGCTTCAGGCACCCCCACACTGGGCTGGTCTGCACTAGGATAACTCAGGACAGTAGGCAGAGACCTTGAGTCCAAAGAGACTTTGTCTGATGTCCAGATTAGGGCCCCATCTTTACTGTAGTCTCGAGGCTTTATGGCACATAAGCATCAACTAAGCCACAGTAAATATATGTAGAGTACCCAGTACCTCTCTTTCTACCCATTTAAAGTCATTATTCATGTAAATAGTATTAAGTATCCTTTAAGGCATTACTTTTTGGCACATACATTTATTCTTTGGGCTTAATCAGTTGTCTATTACCAAAATTTCAATTTTGTTATATACAATTTAGAAGATGCAGAAAAACGTGAGGAAAGAAATAAAATTCACCCATATTCACATTTTATAACCTATAGATAATCATGTCTATGCTTCGATGTGTTTTCTTGTAGTCTTTTTAATCATCTACAAAATAAAGTTAGGAATATACTAATTTTCCAACGCCCAATTAGGTGTAAAATTCCCCTCACTGTTTGCCTGAAGGAAATTAACAGATAAATGAAAGTGAACAAGAAAAAAATGTATGGTTATTATAATGCAGTGCTATTTTAATACACTAATATTGACTCATCCTTGCACAACCATGTAGATAATCTTTTTTGATATCATTGACTTATTGGGAAAAACTTGTACCCAGGCGATTGATTCCTTACCCAGCATTGTAGATACTCTTATCTAGATAGCATGAGACTGAGAGAGTTGATTTAAAGAATCTTACCATGTATTTTTAGGGCACAGCCAATCAGGCTAATGAATGTGGAACCAAGCATAAGTATTCTTAGCCATTGCTTTGTCATTTTGTGTGTAACTGCCATCTTAGAATTTTAGGTTTTGCTGTCCTGGGAAAGACTGCATTCCAGAGAAGGTTTCGACCCCCACCCCACTCTGGTCTTATCACGGACAGCAAGCCACAGCAGAGCTGAGCAATTTGGGCCACTAATGGGGTCAAACTAGCCATAAAATAGAGTTGCATCTCGATGTGACCAATCAGCTCAAAAACTGAAACTGTGCACCCACCGTTGTTAGGAAATGCACCTGTGTAACCAATGAATGGCTGCCAACATGATTTAATTTTTAGAAATCTGCTTGTAACCCTATATAAGATCCCTGTTCCCTTTGCTCAGGGCTCTCGATATCTGCTGCTGCATTGGTAGGTGCCGTGAGCCTGGACTTGAGTCTATAATAAACTCCCTTTTGTGTTTGCATCGGCTGTCTTTGGGTCCTTGGAGGCTATGCTCGCCGAGTCTGCTGATCTTGGGCACAACAATGAACAGAGAATGTGATTAAGGAGGGTGCCTAATCAGTGACTTGGGGGATTTTTGGCTTGGGTTGTATACCCACTTGCTATCCAGCTTAACTAAAATCTCAGGTTGAAAAATAAAATTTGTTAATCTTACAGCATAATCTCTAGAAGTCAGAGAAACTGCTTGGTGGCACTCCTGCTGGAGGAGACACTTTTCTGCCCCCGCATCCCAAACACTTTCTTTTCCACAAGTAGCATATTTTTCCTGAATCTATGCACAGAGAAGTACAGAGAAGAGTTATCAACCTGTGAAGGTGATAATAACAACCATTTTACAGATGAAGAAACTGAGGTTAAAAAAGATTAAGAGATATGCCCAAAGTCACGTAGTGAGTAAGTGAACTCAAATCTTGGTAATTCCAAGGCCTATCTCTTGATACTGGCTAACTTTTAACCAAAGCCACCCAGGCACATAGCTAACCCTTACCTTTCAGTCTCTCTGGCAGCTAGGTATGTCCATGTCCAAAGGCATGTGGTAATCATAGTAGATGCCACTTCCAGGTTTGGACATTGTCCACACATAATACTCCATATCTTCTGTCCCCCATGGGATGGCTACATGCCAGTGCCTAACGAGGCCTTGGAAACCACCTGGTAAGGATGGCAGAGCCTCTGTTATCCTGAGTCATGAACAACTTGTGGAACTTAACACATGAACAACTTGTGGAACTTAACACTCATTTCCCTTTGCTCCAGGTCTATTGGACTTACATTGTTACTGTAACAATGGTTGCTTTGTGCTGCTGAGCACCTAATGCAACTTTCCTGAGAGCAGTTTTTTTCATGAAAACAAATAAAGGTATGTTGGGTTTATCTAAGAATTCCAGAGACTTGCTCTAGGAGGGAGACAATAATCAGACTCACTGCTTGACTGAATTTCTAACATATATCTTTTCCCCCACCCATAGAACTTAATAGTAAATCACTAACCTTATCCTTGCTTAAGAAAAACAGGAACTTTGGACTATGGTGGAGGATTATGGATGTTTTGGTGGTGGGAAAACTGTGGTGATCACAACTGAGGGGAGAAAACCTACACTGTGAAAGAACAATCAACGATGTAAAATAATGATATGTCATTAATATAAAAAGAAAAACAGTAACCAGGACCCACAGTTTCAGAAACATCAGGAAGCTTATCCTAGCAGAACTGCACCAGTAAGGCCACCAATTTGCCCATTAGTCAAAATAAATTCGAAATAAAATGTGGTGACCTGCATATCCCACGCAGCTCCTGTCCCTTTCAAATCCTTTCTGTCAGCCCGAGGAAATCAAGGTGGTCTTTGAGATCATAGTCTGCCATCTCCTCAGGTCAGCAGCTCTCGAATAAACCTTATCTCCTACCTCCACCTTGACTGTCTCCATGGACTGACATCCGAGCTGTGAGCAGCCAAACCTTGGATCTGGTAACACTATGAGAGGAAAAGAATTAGCAAGGATCGTTGCTTAAATAAACTACATTGCAAGGAAGTGGCAGAACTAGGATCTCAAGCCAGTTCTTATGACTCCATATACCTGTGCCCTTCCCACGGTATCACCCTACCTCCCTCTGCAGTGATGGAAGGTGCAGAAACTGATCACGTCCTTCCTTGCTTGCTTTAAAAACACAGAACTACAGAAGGGGCTCTAATTTAGACCCTTTTCTCTCTGTTGTCTGTATGCCACAAAAACAGTCAATTCTATTAACTTACGCCAACTGTCTTTTCACAATTTATATTGTTTTACAGAGTCTCTCACTGGTGTACATGTGCAAATCTTAGCCTGCCTGCAACTCATCCTACTGGCACTGAAAGTCCTTCTTTGCCTTTCTTTACCTTTTTAAATAAATTTAGATGCCACAGTTTGCCAACTAGCCTGGCCTATCAGCAGGCATCTGCTTCTTTTCACTGTTGCCTGTGTGTTTTATTATGTTGCTCACACTGTGTTTCTGACCAGGTCCTTCTTGAACTTTGAGACAAAACTCAGATTCCTTCCTCCTCTGAGAATCTTCCTGATGATTCCTGTCCCCATTGATGTACCTACCACTTTGCAAATAATGAAGATCTGCCTCAAACTTTTGACCTTTGACCTTTTTTTTTTTTAAATTGTGTTTGTAAAACTTTATCTTTCCCTGTAAGGACACTAACTGGAGTGTATACCAGTGAGCAGTAAGCACAAAACCTAACATGCTATCTTGCAATAAAAGCTTATCAACAACCTGTTTTTGAATGATTCAAGGAATGAAGTAATGGGAACTTCTACAGTGCCTGCAAAGATTCTCAATTGAGTTTTTTAAACCTATTGACTTCTATCTTTAACCGTTGAATTCTATCTTTATATTTGGGGCCTTGCCTGAGGCATTTTTGACAATGATTTTGAAACATGGTCCAAACCGATCTACAGTCACCCCCAAAGTTCTGTAACCTGGCTGAAGTCAAAGACTGTTACAGGTGGTTCCCCCTGGAGCAGGGACGCTGATGAAGATAAATAGCCCCAGGGAAAATGCAAACAAAGTATCTGGAGAGTCTGATAAGAAATATAAGGGGCTGCAGAGGCAGCCTCTAGGATGGATTCAGCTTTTTGGGATTTCAGTGTTTTTTCGGATCTTCAGTGATTCTGGGGTCAGCGATTTTTTTTGCCCCCACCATGCCGACCTTCCTGAGCAGGCTGTTGCAGGCCTCTGAAGAAGGTGGACAGGCTTCCAGCAGCCAACCTCAGCGAGGAAAAGTTTGGAGGCTTTGCAAGTAGCCAAGTGACTGAAGCTTTTCCCAGTTTTGCTGCTGTTGACAGCTTGGCAGGGAAGGCAAAAACCTGGAGCCAGGCACCTCCTTGAGCTTGGTGAGTTGTGAGTAGTTTCTCCTGTCCTTTGGCTGCTGCAGCTGCTGTTTTGAGTGTTGCTTTTCTGGTACTGCACTGGCACATCTCAGCAGCCCCAGTGAGCATCTCCAGCTGTGTCTTCTGCTGTCTTTGTGAGTTGGATCCCGGCCTATAGTCTGGCTGCTATGTGCACCATGTCCTCAGTGGTAGGAAGATGCCATCCTGGGAGCATTTGTGTACAGGAATTTAAAAAACTGGACACTGTTTTGGGTGAGGTAAATGGCCAGTAACTCTTTGTTTTTCCCTGGTTTGTTAAATAAATATCATTATTGTTGTTCTCTGACCCTGAGTAAGCAGACTTGCAATTGTGTGCGCAGGGGAAGAACTCAGATGGTGACTGGTAAACTATTTAGGCACTGTCTTGGCCAGTTTTAGTGTCCCTTGCTGCCCTGTATCAATTCCACTATAGTGGTTCTCAAGCTTCAGCATGCTAGCAAGGTGTCACTTGCAGAGATCCCTACCCAGTAGGTGTGTGGTAAGCCCAAGAAAGCACATTTCTAACAGGTGGTGTTGATCCTAATGGTTTGGTAATCACACTATGAGAACCAGAGTCCTATTTTCCATTTTCTTACTTGGCTTCAGCTGTACTGATTTACCCGGCCATTAAGCAAACCAGGTATTGCCCTATCCCAGGGCTTTTGCATTTGCTATTCTTCCAGGTAATCATATACTTGCTCCATCATTCCTTTATATGTCACCTTCTCAGTCAGTTCTTCTCCAAGTTACTGATTTGAAATGGCAACACTTTTCCCAACTCTCTCTCTCTCTCTCTCTCTCTCTCTCTCTCTCTCTCTCTTATACACATATTCCCTATTATATTTCTTTCCTGCCATTTCCCCCCCATAACAGTTGTCACCACCAGGCATATTATGTTTTAGTCATTTGTTTATTGTCTACCCCTCCACCCCCCACCAGAATATAAGAGTCCTGAGAGAAGGGCTCTCATTTACTCCTTTCTGTACCCCAGAGATTGGAACAGTGTTTGGTACACAGTCAACAGGTAATTGATGTTTTAACTGGAGGACAATGTGGCCACGATCCTACCTGTTTTCAGACCATAAATCATGATGAAAACAAATCCACTGCTGAAATAAAATAAAGATGCTTCACTGGCTATTCACTCTGCCCAGGCATGTTAAGGGGGCCAAAGTTGAAGGCACAGAGGAGAAGCCGTTAACCCTTGTAGAGAGTCAGGGGAGGCCACCATCCTGTCCTCATTTTTCTCATCAAACAAGATGAGGTGGTTAGATGAACTATCTGCAATGTTGTTTCCAGCTTTATAATCTATGTTCTTCTCTCCGGGGACAGTGGATCAGTGAGCAGAGATACCCTTCAGTCAATTCAGACAGTTTCATCTTGAGGGCTTCACTCTTTATCTGTTGTCAATAGCTTCATCACCACAGAGCTAGCAACGTTTTTCTGAGAAGCTTCTCCTAATCAAAGCTACAACCCCAGAGGAACCAAATAAGACATCAGTGCAAAAAAACAAAACAAAAAACCACACACAACAAAACAAAAACAGACAATTATAAACCAGGGACATCCTGCAGGGGAGGAGGAGGGAGAGGGATCAGAGGGAGGGAGGGAGGAGCACAGGGGACTGAGGTGATGGTGCACGGGTGCTTTGGTGAAGGAAACTCTATGGGGACTACACCTGAGGGGGTAGGGGGAAGCAAATCTTGTTTAAAAATGAACAATGATATGAAAAATAAATATTTTTTTAAAGGACACTTTCATGGGATTATTGACCCTACTGTTGTTCTTTTTTGAGAAGGCCCACCTCAAAAAAAAAAAAAAAAAAAAAAAAAGCTGCAACCCCAGAGTTGTGGTGCCTCTTTGGTTTTGTGTAAAGCAAAATTATTTTTCTTGGATCCTAAATGGTGATAAACCCCATGTTATTATATTTGTGCTGCCTCTAAAGTCAACCCATTGCAGGGCTTCTTTCCCTTCTTTGCTGACCTTAGTATCTTGAGATCTGAACATATAAATATACTAACATACAACATTGGAGGCTAAATAATACACTGTCATATAAATAGGTTCCAGTAGTAACAAACCCTGATGAATGCTAAATTTGAAAGAAAAATTATGGCAGAAAAATTTTGAAAAAATTGAAAACTTGATCTTCATGTTTATTTTGTTCTTATTTTCTGCCAGCTGAAGCACTGGCCCATGGATTCATTTAAGGACATGGGGCAGAAAAAGGTTAGCATAGAGTGGCCAGGGGCACAGGCTTTGGACCTATGAGTGTAAGACCTAGGGTAGATTATTCAGTCTCCCTGTGCTTCCATTTCCTCATCTATAAAATGGGAATGAGGATGATAGCATTTAATTCCTAGGGTCATTGAGATATCCAGTAAGGTAGTACAGATAAAACTCTTCAACTGAGCTAGACAGGCAGCAAAAGTACTTGGCCAATGTTAACTGGTATCTTGCATTGCTGAAAGCCATAGTGAGGCACACTTAAGAAAAAGTTAACTCAGTCAGGGAAAGAGATAAAAAATAAGAGCCGTTTGAGAAAATGGAAGTATTAACCAGATGGAGAAGAACAGAAAAGCCATCGGAGAAGCTATATGTGAATATTTGACTTGGATTTCTTTCCATTGAGCAGCTTAAAAATCATTAATCTCTATTTACACAGAGCTTCATCTGAGCAGTAGTTACCTGAGGTTATTGACTGTTCAGGCCAGAGAACAAGGGTCATCTGAACACTCATTATTTTGAGCAAAAAGCTGTTTCAGGTGTTCTTTTAGGTTATCTGTCTCCAGGAAACTCTGAGGCCAAGCCGGAACATGGGTGGTGAGCGAGGGGGCTGCAGCCTTAGGATTTTCCAAGAGTCACCTTTCAAATTGAGAGGAAAGGTTTAAAGATTGTTATTATGCTTTGTTACTATGTTACTTTGCCTTACTATGCTTTCAAGTAACTTTACAACAATAAATGTCTCTGAAAAGCTGGATGCAGCCAGAACAGCAGTGCTGTTGTCACATCCTCTGCCTGCATCTGCCCTCTCCCTCCAAGGGGAATCATCATCTTCCTAAACCTGTTGATGCCCTCAGCAGGCTTCCCAAGAGCATTCTGTGTTTGTGATTGTTGCTTTGAGTAGATCCAACCTTTTCTCAGATGTCACTGAACTGTGCTTAGGCTGGCCTTTGGGTCATTGACCCTTAAGCAAATAGATAATGTCCTCAAAAAAACTTGACTTCTGTGCAGTGCTTTATATTGAGGAAAGCTGAAGTTGGAAAAGGTGGTAAAACCCTTTGACTCTCCAGAGGGGAGCCCATAATTTCTTCTGACTTCCTCAAGTTCACACGCAAGGGGTAAGTAAGTGGTTTTTACTATCTTTGGCATTTGAGGACTGTTCTGCAAAGTTACTTCCTCTAAGTCTAGCTTTGTGGGATGTTGTGTTTCTGAGTCACTACACCCTGACCACTGATAAACAATACTACTAATCTTGTAGAATACATTAATGATTTCACTATGTTATATACAATACAGATGATTCTTGGTTTCTGTCTCATCTATGGCAGTGCTATTTTGTGCATCTATTCCCTTGAGAATGTGTGGAGGTATGTGGTACAAAGGGGGACTAGATTGAATAATCTGTCAAGTAAAATGCCAGTGAACTGCTTTTAAACTTGACTTTATGAAAGCACAGATACCTAGAAGTCCTACACTGCGTGGTCAGTACTGGTTTCATACAGGACTTTACTATTTATTCTCCACCACCTCTTACATGTCCTCATTCTCCCAGTTTTCAATAATTTTGTTACTAAAAAATAAGTGGTGAGGATATATGGCTAGTGGGGGCAAGATTGTTTCTAGAACCTAATTTTACTTTTAGGTTTCCCTAGTCAGGAGAAATCACATCTTATTGATAATTTGAACACAGTCATAAATATAATACACATGTAAGACTGGAAATAAAATGCAGTATTTTTAAATGTTTTGAAAGAGGAGGATTAGCTTCTAGATATCTTAAAGACAAATTATAATGTATCCAAAACAGTTAATATTGGGTTCTAATGGTGACTATTATTAAGCTTCCAAAGTATTAGCTTACGCATGGTTCTTATTTATGAGGTCCTTTCTGTGCGCTGCCACCAACACTCCTCTCCCCCACCCCCTTCTCCCCCTTGACTCCAGACTTAGTTTCCCTCCTATGCTTTCCTGCAACACTGTAATTATATGTTTGCAGCCTCCATTTCATTTAATTGTAAATTCCTTGAATACTTTGTCTTACTGCTGAGAGTAAGCCAGCATATATTTGCCGATGAATTCAGGAAGTGGATTAGGACATGTTTTAGGGGAAAAATATCCCACATAGCAGTTTTGAAATAAAACCAAAATAATTAAAAAAATAGTTCTATTGTAGAAATCAAACATAAGGGTATATGCTGCTTTGTGATGATAAAAGACCTATACATTAAGAGACAAAGAGCTGGATATTACACTATTTTCTTCAAGAGCAGTTCTTCAGTTCTTCATGTCAATTGTGACTCTGTGAAGAAGGGATATTTTGTGTCTCATGAGGATTACTGTGGATTTCTTTCCTTTTTCCATCAACTTTGGCCTTTGGGGTTAAAGGGACCCCGTATTATTCTATTTCTGGACAGTGTACCCCACATTGTTAAGGCACATCATCACCCCACAGCCTGCTTATTTGCAAAATAACTTTTTCCATTTTTCTTGCTTCTTTGCATAAAATATTATTACTTTCCTTCTCTAATGATCCTTGGGAAGAATAAAACATTTGCTGGGTCTGATAATAATAAAGGTGCTTATCTGCATCACTGAATGTCCTTAGTAAAAGACATTTTACGGACTTTTAAAAAAAAAGTCAAAATTTATAGTTTGGAAAATGACGTCCAAATCCAAGAACAGGAACAAATGTTTCTTTCTGCCTCAGGGAAGGGAGGGCCTTGGAAGGTTTTACAACTTTACAGGAGACTAGCCAAGGGAAA